CCCCTGTTTGGATACGGTTTCTCGATAGAACGGGAAATATACATTTTTGTTTTTATTATTATTATTACTAATACTATTAGTAGTAGTATTATTGTATTATTATTATCTTCTAACATACCTGTTGTTCACGATATGTCTGAGTAAACTTACTAAAATGACATGGCTATGGTTTATTGCAGTTTAGTGCTAAGATAGACGTTCTAAGGTGACACATTTACAGCACGGAGTTGAGCAAATAGTAGCAAATGACAAGTGGAGATTGCGACATCACCATCGGCTAGTAGGACCGATTTCCAGCACTGCTGCTTCCAGCCCCCGTTGTGTAAATGGATTGCGACCAGCGACCTCAATCTGGATATCTATCCACTATGAAGTGAACGTGAAGCATAATTCATAAAGATTAGCATACAAATCGGTTTTGGTGGCGATACTTAGGTGATACCTTGTTATCATTAAGCGGGATAAGAGGAGTTTGTAATCCATCTGAACTCCAGTACGGAGAATATAAACTTTACTATGGAACTAGAATCATGCATGGACACTGCTATTCCTTGAGTGTCTAGTTCGCAGGAATGGAGGAGGGCCAAAAACGATATATCGAAAACCAACAGATACAGATGGAGTACTACACTATAGTTCAGGTCATCTTAAACACGTCTATTCTGCGACTGCATCCTCTCTGTTTCACATGGCCCAGACTCTGGGCAACGAGGAAGAAGACAGATGGCACGTATCCGAGGAAGTTAGTTAAACGTTAATTGCACAGAGTGCTAAACCCACCTTCACGACGTACAACAGAGTGGATTTGGACGGTAGGAATTCCTTATAAAGAGGGAACTTCTGTAGCAATCAGGTGGATACTAAACAAGGGGGAAGATAAGAATGGTCTTCCAAAGGGGTCAACACTGGTGCGTTTGAAGGGTCTACTTCCGAAAAATGGGACAAACAAGTGTGTCTATAAAATTAGCTGCAGGGACTGTGCGCAAGTATACATAGGCCGAACAGTGGGAGAACTGCGCACTAGGATAGCAAAACACAAGAGGTACGTTTCGCGTTCACCAAAAAATGAGCCTGAATACAAGGTCTTATTAAAACATTCGGCGGCACCGGTACATGCGCTAGACGCGGGACATGCAAACGACTGAGATAATGTAGAAATCATTAGGAGGGAGCAAGAACGGTAAGTCAAAGAATAATTGCTGAGGCGATAGAAATCGCTAAGCACTAACTGCGTAAATAGAATAGACGGCGTAGAACTATCGACCGCGTGGTGGACTGTCTTAACCCGATTAGTCTGAGCAGCTTTGGTGGACGAATTCAGATTGGAGCGGAAACCACAAACTATCTGCACTAGAGCCAAGAGCAATATCCACTCTGACTCATATGTGAATGACCCATTACACGGATCAACTGGGAGCGTTCCATGCTCATGGTACCACTAGGCTGACTACTTGACCCTTTGCAACTGTAACATTTTCCCACTGATCCTGGTTATCGCCCACTTTTATTATTCTAATTGTTATAAAATGTCATGTCAAATCTGTACTAGCTCATCTGACCTGAAGAAGCTCTTGTGCCAAGGGCGAAACGTTGTCCATATACAAGCCTATATAAAGCCGAATTGTATTTTAACCTTTGAAAATTACGAAGTCCCAGTAGGTTCCAGCTTCTTGCAAGATATTCGTAGTCTATCAATCTAATCGTTAGGTGTTGCTCATTCGCAATACCGCGACCGGTTTCATGCCTACGTGCAGACACAGATGGCAGAAGTGTAACTCGAAACAGAGACACACGGGGATATCAGTTGAAACCTGCTCACCAACCACCCAGTCGCAGGCAACGCTTGTCACAACGGTTAATGGTTAAGTGTGGGCTATTTCTAAGTACTAGTACTGTGGATGGAGTTTGCGATTGGGATTGCATGTCGTAATCCATTCGCACAATCACAGCCTCAAAATACCCAACCCACCCAGTCATCAAACGTAGTGACAAGCGTTGTCCGAAGCAAATCGGGGACCTCGGCTATCATCACAAAAGTCCCTCGTGCTCGAGTCGCAGTCCTGTTTTCTCTACTTGTCCAGCACATTGTTGCAAAAGGGCCTCACTTAATCTTCATTCCGTCCCATTTCCACCGATGATACCTCCAGCCTCACCCAGCATAGGCAAATGTCGCTTTGCCCCGCAACTGATAACCACCTGCAGTTTGGCAGATGTGAAGCCAGTGTATGCTGAAAAACCGGTCACTAATCCGTCAAAGTTTCCATATCAAATTGTTAGGGAAGTAGGCTTCCCTAAGATCGACTAGTTTCAGAGAGTTTATCGGTAACAAAACACCACTGTAATTTATCAATGTTTGCGCACATTTTGCTGATGCCAGTTTCTTTGCTTCAGAAAGACTTGTTTCCTTTCCCTTCCGGTTGATTACTTAGCTGTGGGGCCACTTACGCTATCGATCGTTTGTCATTTTCTAACTCACTGTACTATCCAAGCATTGCAAGTATGATTTATTCCGAGTGAGCGACTGTCGTCTGTCCACCTGTGCATAACTATACTCCCGGTAAAATGTTTTGCCTTTTGGGGATACAAGAGCAAGTAGGAAGCATGTGATCCGAGAGTGATTAGTTGAGGCGATTTCTGTCCAGATCACAAATGAAACCAGCTCCAATGGGTGACACATTTGTGTGTGCGAGACCATCGGCTCTGAGTCCGAGGTGCATCAGCACTATAATGAAACTTGTGGTATTTTTATGACATTTCGTCCTTCGCACTTTGGTTCGGGAGCGGGTTTCGCAACAACAGACTAATGGAACCGCTAGGAAAATTCACGACCCATGCCAACCAGAATGGATTTCCTTACCAAACACCATGAGTAAAGGCTGTTGGAAGCGCTATGAAGTGCAGACGAGTCATGTATTAGAGAAACAACGTCTAGATATTATAAATCAGGTCCATTAGCGGGACATTCCGACTCACCTTCCCGCTGCGCTTCTTCATTCACAACGATTCGTTGGAGTCAGATTGTGGCACCACGCGTCCTTCGTCTTGTTGATTTACGCAACACCTTTCCTTCGTCCGCGGCGAACCGCGATTCCTCTGATTTCTTTGCGCCTCTTCATTTGCACACATTCTACGCATTAGTAGTGCACTACAAGGCGACTGGTAATTAGAGACCCTAATCTTTAGAGAGTTCGAGAAACGCGGAAAAATCGCGGAATTTACTTGCCCGGAATCGCGGCAAAAGGAGAAATTCCTAATGAAAGCTACTTTGATTTCATGTTTATTGCAATCAATATACTTGTATACGAAAGCAATGTCAAGGCATGCAACTGGCTATTGGAACATTCCTCAGGAGTATCATAACCCCATATGTCTACCATTTGCCATCTAATTCCCCTTGTCGCCCCATTCACAGCTGTCTGCGCTTTCATCCCGATCTCAGTGTCACCCATGCATCTATCCATTGCGCAACGGATTCGTTGTACAGATAAAAGTGTTTTCGTTTTTCACGAAGTAAGAGGCGTGTCTTCATGGAGTAGCGAACTCAGAAGGGCGTGGATAACCCTAGCGGTCCAGTTGCACCGGTCATCACCGGTCGGAACTCCTGGCTAGATGCTGTCGCACATTACAGCAGATATTGCCATCATTACTCAGCCATATTGAAATCTGTACAACATGAGTTTCGAGACTTAGCTGGTGTTTGTGAACTTGTGGATATGCTAACCAACGAAGCGACACGGAAAGCTTTGTAGTGGCAAATGTGTTGCACTACGACATCATCCGTCACTTAGCGACTGCCGAATCACAGTGTCCGGTAACCCATAAAACTTATAACGATCTCTCCGATCTATCCAAGTCGCTGAAAACTGTCGCCGAGAAAAACTGGCTGCAGCCTCTGCAGACAGAGGGACCGACCTATGGTACATCCATCAAAAGCCAAACTGGCATGCAAGTCTGCTTTTCCAACGCTGCTATAAAAGCCCAAGCGTTGCTGACACCACAGGCTAACTGATCGTTTTTATAAGCCATTAGAATACTCGACTTGACCAGCTTATCACTTTGTCCAGTGATCCACTCAGCTATACTGACGTTCCGGGCCTGGTTGGCTCCCCAGCTCTGGAAGCCGAATGGCTAATCTGTCGAAAATTGATGGAAGAACTGCATAGAGAAAAATGCGAAAACACGCTGGCCTTCTGGTGTGGGATACATGAAAGCAGTCCACAACTGGCAAACGTTGCCGGTCGTCATCTATGCATTCCTGTGAAATCGGTAGACGCTGCACGGAGTTTCAGTGCCCACAAAAATGTTGTGTCTGACAAGCGTCATAAACGTTTAGACAGCAATACGAAGCCCGTGTTGGGTTCATTACAATTCCTGTGTTTTGAATCATAATTGACATGTATATAGTGTTTGAGGGTGCCTTGATTTCTGTTTATTCTAGTCTTCGTGGTAACATCCAGGAATATAATATTTGCGCCGCAGAAATTTCGCAGAATTTTCAATTTTGATCAAAGAGAAAATGATTCACAATCGCGGAAAACTGGAGTCTTTACTGATGGCGACTGTACGATTTTTCTGAGTTAACAGCGTTAGGGCACTTTTCCTGTCCCTTTCAGATGCTTTCCTTTCTGCCCTATTCTAAAATCGTTTAGCACGATCAATGAAAGTAATGGTATACTTTGACTGCTGTTTGCGATTACTATGGCAAGTGAATACCATATCCGGGTTTGGACGATAGAGGATTCAAGCTGTAGGAGTGACAAACCAGGTTTCGTGATCAATTGGCTTCGAGACTGGTTTTCGTTTTCAAGCTCTCAAAAAGTAGCATAGGGCACAAACATCTGACATTTGAAAGAGTGTGGATTGTCAATACAAAGAAATTTTACTGTGTTGATAGTTACTGACAAGTAAATACCAGTGTTTCTTGAACCACACCATCGTCTAAACAGCGTGCTACGAATGCTCAGTAAGGAAAAAAGAATAAAGGCAATGTCGATTCTTACCTGTGGACCGGCATCCCCACGCTCCCCTTTGGGTCCAGCTGGACCAGTTGGTCCCGGTGGTCCGTTGGTTCCAGTTGGGCCTGGTAATCCAGGCTCACCGATCTCGCCTTTGCTTCCAATCTGTCCAGATGGGCCTGGTGGACCCGGCCGTCCCGGTTCTCCAGCTGTGCCTTGTGGACCAGGTTTTCCAGGCAATCCCATCTCTCCTTGGTCCCCATGTTCTCCAGGCTTCCCTCGATCTCCCTGCCTACCAGGTAAACCCGGGAGGCCCTTGGGACCTGGAGGACCAGGAGCTCCTTTCCGACCCAGATCACCTGGCTCTCCACGGGTTCCCATTGGACCGGGTTCACCTTTGTTGCCTTTCATCCCGACAGATCCAGGTGGGCCAGGCATGCCAGGTTTGCCAATGTCTCCCGGAATTCCCTGGCTACCAGGCTCTCCTACTGGACCTCTATCGCCTTGTGGTCCCCGGAGCCCAGGTTGTCCCTTGTTTCCCGGACGCCCTTGTTCTCCTCTTGGACCGATGATGCCATCAGATCCACGCTCACCAGGAGGCCCTATCGGTCCCGGTTCTCCCCTTGGTCCGAGCTCTCCTTGCTCACCTTTGTCGCCACGGGGGCCACGGACTCCAGCATTGCCGATAGGTCCTGGAATACCGGCTGAGCCACTTTCGCCCATGTTCCCTTTCTCACCACGTTCACCTTTGAGGCCTTCAGGTCCAACAGAACCAAAGGACCCCTTTGGGCCCGTCCGGCCGGGTGGACCTATGGGTCCCATTTGTCCGGGTGCTCCGCGTTCGCCCTAGTCATAGAATGCGCGACAGACAAAGGGAATTTACATGAAAACTCCCAGTTGAACTAACAAGTCTAGCGAATGATGAGTTAGCTGGTGTCACACGGATTGGACGGCTGCAGAAAGTGTTGACATAAGATCTCCAGAATACTCAATTATGCGTGAGTAAACTAGAGATAAGGATAACACAATTCAACCTAGACAACAGCCATCTAAATTTGTAAAACAAAATGCGTAATTTGTAAACTTGGATGCACATAGTTTGTATTTAGTGTATGTTGCTGTATGTATTGTAGCTATGATGATTAGCCGCCATCCATGATACTGCAAGCTATTGTTCTACCGCTATGAACAGCACCACCGCAACTACTAATAGTACTTGCTGAGAAGTACCGGTTTACGGCAACTGTTAAAACTTACTGGTGGTCCACGTGGTCCACTTGTCCCCGGTTCACCATCTGGACCTGGATCACCAGGTTTCCCTGGAGTACCTGTCGGTCCTTCGGGTCCTGCGCGACCCTCAGGGCCCATTGGGCCACGTTTGCCAGTTTGACCGCGCTGTCCTTTTTCGCCAATAGGACCATAAGGTCCAGGAGGCCCAGGTTCGCCACGAGGGCCCCGGTCACCTCGTTGACCACGAGAGCCGATCGCACCGGGTTCACCCGTCTTGCCCATTGATCCTGAAGGCCCACGTATGCCCTGTGGTCCCTGCAAACCTTGCGGGCCTGGAATGCCAGGAGGTCCAGGTGGCCCCTGTCGTCCAATAACTCCTAACGGTCCCTAAAGAACAACGGGAAGCAAAAATAAATTAGTATTACGCATAAATCTAGTGAACGTTACAGGTTAGGTTCGATCGATCGCAGCATAAAACCAGTGTAGTGGCATAGAGGCAAAGTAACCTTTGAGGATCGGAACACGAATCAAACACAATAACACAGCGTTGTGCCTGCTGAGGAAAATTTGTAACTGCCTCCAAAAGACCCCTTTATGGCCGCTCGACTGGTCTTAGCGTTATTTTTATGTACCTGGATGGATCCTTGGCGGAATCTTCCTACGGTGAAGCTAGTCCATTGTTCTACATTACTCTAATTTGAAGCAAGGTTTGTAAATGTGCGTCACTGGAACGCACGCCTCACCAGAATCTTCAAGTCTCAGTGCTGAACTTCCCAGATATCTGTTGTTGATGGCACATTACTGACAGAGTTATAAGGCAGTATCTTGAATGCTGAAAATAATCGTGGGACGCTTTTACTCTGAAAATAAAAAGTAGCGTTACGCCCACACATTCGGGTTCCCTTAAACCGTGGTGAGATCCACTTTGGCCCCGGCTAATACACACGGGGCAAATGGACTATACGGTGATAGATGGGGATCACATAGGAGCATTTTATGTATATATAACTACAGAATTCGTTATTATACTCAGCGTGCTCCGGGTTCGATGCGATGGAATCGGCCCGTGGTCATACACATGAAAATGTCGTTAGTCTCTGGTGCGACCAATTGGAAGAGAGCAGCATTCGTATGAAACTGTGCATAGAAAAGGACTCACCTTCGGTCCCGGCTCTCCATTCGGTCCAGGTTGCCCTCGGGGTCCGCTGATACCCTGAAACGGTAGGTAGCATGTGGCAAAAACAGCATTAAAGTAACCGGTTTATCAAAGTAGGAATCTGGACACTAACTTCTCTAATGGTTACTGTAAAGGATTGGAAAGCACAAAAAGGGTGGTAGTGTGTGTCATATTCACTAAGCACGAGTTTGCGCTGAAGCCACTGAGACAAACGACCTTGTCACTTCTTCACTGGTGGCCCTGCAGCTCCGCGACGACTGGTTGGAAGGGGCGCGCCTCGAAGATCGTGGAATTCCGCTGAATGCAGAGGTGTTATAACGCAACAGTCTGATATGACATACTCACTTAGAGGTAGTGATCCAAAGTTTTGCTCAAAGCACTCAACGGAAGTATTGAAAACTAACCAAACCCTTACGGCCGCTTGCAAGTCCCTAGGAAACAGCCGACGCGCAGCTGACCGTTTTCAAACGCATATGCACCTAGATGTTTCCATATTCACAGTAGTGTAGAGTTAAACTATGAGCAATAAGTAGTATTTCGATACTTGATCCAGAAAATCAGTAACCACCTAGATTAACGGTAAGCTTTAGCCACAGACTTGGTGTCAGCGTTACACCAAATCTAATATGCCGCTGGCTGACATGTGAAGTTTGCTGTTTCTCGATTTGGGCATGTGAGAAAAATAAGTCCTCTAAGCATGAGCGGCTTATCGAGCAAGAACAAAGGCGCAAAGGCCAGTTAATGTCCTCGGTATGTATTGTGCATTCATTTCCGTAAATTGCCATCTTACTGGGCTGATGGGACTTTCCTTCTGACCCAGTTATTCAGACAACTCCCGGTGGCGCAGCAAAGTGACAACCACTCAGTGGAGCGGATGAAAATCCCCTGAGCCTCCATGGACGAAATCCTTCAGTCTAACTTCCAAATGGCCTTCGGAGTCCGTCACGTGAGTTCCTTCGTCCATTCAAATTGGATCATCCAATCACATAATGTATGCACAGTGAGAAAGGATTCTCTACAGTCTAATGTGAATGATATGGCCGATATGGCTAGGTGCCGACCCCAGTGGCGTTCGTGCTGTGAGTTTCTTTGTCCCACCCCATCCTTCTCAGCCTCCCCCTCCAACCACGATCTCATTATTTAACCTTATATAATTTTGTATAGTAATTTTTTTTTTGATGCATCTTAGCCGGCTATTAGCTTACCGGAACGACGCCCATCCGTTATCGGTAGCTCAGCCGGTTTGCCCCAGTTGAATTCTTTTTTCTCTCCTTTTTTGTGTATTGCGGCACAGTAGCTGAGGTGTTCCCCACCTCTAGCTAACGTGTATAATTATGATGATGAATGTGAATGACGATAGGAAAGGAACGTCCTTCTCCGACCCAACAGGGAAAGTACCGAGTGACGCTGACTACCTTGGGCACTTGTGTAGGCAGTTGTGTTCTTGCCGAAGTTTATTCCAACTTGCTACTGGTGAAACATCTTACTCAATGGCGAATCGAATCATAATATTGCGAAATACACAATATGCCAGGTGTCCTAACGGATATATACGGAAGCGAGTGGGGTTTCCACATCAGCTATATAAAACTCGGATACAAAATGGCTCAGTACAAACAAATGCTTCAAATCGGACCCAAACAGTTCGCTTAAACATAATAAACGATGGCATGTGGAAAGCGCCAGATGTTTATTATAAGGCACTCACTCTTGCTCCGGTGGCACCGCGGAGTCCACTTGGGCCAGCGGCACCTTCAGTACCCTTTTCCCCTGTCGGCCCGACTGGACCGGGATCCCCGGGGACTCCAATCAAACCAGGAGGACCTTCAGGACCCGGTGCACCTCGACTTCCTGGAGGACCGCGGCTCCCTTCGAATCCAGGAGGGCCAGGTGGACCGGCCGAACCCCGAATTCCCCTCTTTCCAGGCTCTCCGAGTAGTCCAGTGGGTCCTCGTTCACCCCTGTGACCTTTGAGGCCTTCCACACCGGGAAGTCCTTGTGCACCTTGTAATCCGGCTGCTCCTTCAGGGCCTTTGGCACCAGGCATGCCAGGTTCGCCTTCCTGACCAACAAATCCTCGAAATCCAGTTGGTCCAGGTTCGCCAGGATGGCCACGGTCTCCGGGTTCTCCCATGTTGCCGACCGGACCGACTGGTCCGTAAGCACCCTGCTTGCCTGTAGGTCCAGGGGGGCCCGGAGAACCCCGGTCTCCTTGTGGGCCTGGGAATCCAGCCTCACCCTTAGGACCAACGCCGCCAGCAGCCCCTTTCATTCCCACAGGACCTTGCACACCGGGGCTACCTTGGGGTCCAGGCGAACCAGGATCTCCAGGGGGACCGCGTACTCCACCAGTTCCCTCGAGCCCCTGTCAGAGTTAAAAGAAGATGGGGTTTTACCAAAACTAACAAAACGCAATAACATGAGAATGTTTCGAATGAGTTCGAACACAGCACTGGAATGTTTCTTGCCATAACGACGAGTCCGAATGACAGCAATATAGCAAGAGTAGGTGAAGTGCAACACGTCTGAAGTTGATCAATTGGGTAACAATGGAAGGTAAATGATTTTACGGTGGAACATGCAATCGGCGGAGCTGCCACTATTCGTGCCCGGGGTTCGCGTTGCAGCGACAATCTCAGTTTTATCACCACGCCTGATGGAACATACTACGACGCACCAGGTGATATCTGCGAAGCTTTCAGTGCTTATTTTGCCGAATCAATGCTCACTGAATCATCAGCTACACCAACATTTATCATGCCGCACAATAATGAAGGTCTATACACAGTGGAATTCACTATGGCGAAAATCACTGGTCAGGTCGCTCGCTTATACTCCTCAAGGTGCGCAGGCCCTGATGGGATTCCCCCATGTTTAATAAAAAGCAGTGGTAGTGACTTCCTTCTGCTTTTGCTCAACCTCTTTACACTCTCTTTTAACAACGGAGTATACCCTACTCAATGGAAAACATCTGTCGTTTTCCCGCGACATAAAAAAGGGCGCTGCCTACGAGGTTAAAAACTTGAGTCCCATTAATCACACACCCATGTTATCTATAATAATGGAAAGGATAGTGAAAGATAAACTATTTACATTCTTGAACCACGCTAACATTATCAGCAATTCGCAACACGGCTTCATGCAAGGTCGATCTTCCGCAACATGCCAGATTGACTTTTTAAACCACACATCGGCTGCCATTGACAAGGGAAACGGTGTCGTAATCCTGTTCCTGGATATGCAAAAAGCCTTTGGTAGAGTGCCTCACAGGTTACTAAACAAACTAAAGGCTATAGGCATTGAAGAACCGGTGTTCTCTTGGCTGTCTTCATATCTAATTGGTAGACAGCAGGTTGTGCGCATAGGCGACCATTTCTCTAAACCGAAAGCAATCACTAGTGGAGTGATTCAAGGGAGTGTTCTTGGTCCACTTCTTTTTCTTTTTTATAATAACGATATATTCCAGAGAATAAGAAATGGTATTGCATTTATCTTTGCTGATGACATTAAAGTTGTCTACTCACTACCACGTGCAAATACTCAGGAAGTCGTACGTCTCATTCAAGATGACCTATCCGCCCTTGACTCTTGGTGCCAACTGTGGCAGGTGTCATTTGCCGTGGACAAATGTAATATTTTGTCGTACAAATGCCAAGTACCGCCAGATAGTTTATTACTACAAGGTACATATATCTCGCAATGCAGGACAATTCGAGACTTGGGTGTGCGATATTCAGTTACGTTTAACTTTTCTGAACACTGTGACTTCCAAGTTTCGAAAGCCATGAAGACCATCGGTTATATCTGCCATCATTTTTACCTCACGGAATCTCGTATATCGCTTTACAAAACATATGTATTTCCGTGTATGGAATACTGTTCAGTGGTACAGTCTAATCTAAGGAAATTTGACCAGCACCTTCTTGAGACGGTCCAGAGACGCTTAACGAAAAAGCAATGTGGATATTCCTCAAAGTTGACATACAGGGAGCGATGTGATAAACTTGGATTTGACCCAGTTTGGCTTCGGATAATGAAGCTGAACCTATGTTTTCTTTACAGAATCATAAATTGTCGAATTCGTAGTCTTGAAAACGTTGTTCACAAATCTGTAAACAGCAGATACTCAATACGTAACAAAGAGGTGAATATCATGATTCCAAAATTTACTACGAGAATCAGAGAACGTTTCTTTCTAACCCAATACTCAAAGATTTGGAACAAACTTCCAAGTGATTTCAGAACATGCTATACTCTTTGCAATTTTAAGCTTGCTATTAGTAAGCATTTAACCGTCCAAAACGTGATTAAGAGGTTCGGGACATCACAGATCCTAGATAACGCATTTGAAAACGGTATCCATGGTGTCTGAATAAATTTCCGAAACACATACACATAAGATTTCCGACAACAGCCCCTTTCATTACATTTTTTGCTCTCGGCCCAAATATCTGTCATGTGATCGTGAAGGATCCTGATTCAATGGCAGGAAAAAATAGCAGAACGATTCTGGTTACTCTGTGTAACCTAATTTGCAATTGCGCCCATGTTTATCTCTGAAAAGATATTGATGAAATGTCGTGGAAAAGTTGTACCATTATTTGAGCTGTTCCTTCTAGGGAACAATTTATGGCATCGTCGAGGAATATACAATTGATTTATTTATTTATTTAACAGATCGCGTACAAGCTACTACTGTTCGCACTGTTTATGTCTTTCGAGAGGCAATTTGGAACCAGCTGCGCTTGTTTGGTGCTTACCTGGGGTCCTTGTGGTCCAACAAAGCCTCGAGACCCGGGTTCCCCACGCTGCCCACGCAGACCAGCAGCTCCTTTTGGTCCTGTTAGCCCACCCAGTCCCACAGGTCCAGCGTCGCCAACGGTTCCCTTCAAACCCGGCATACCAGGATCCCCTTGCTCACCCCGGTGGCCAGTGGGCCCCTTGATTCCAACTTCGCCAGCAGCTCCAACGGGTCCCGGGAGTCCTCGAGCACCCTTTAGGCCAGGCTGTCCCATCACTCCTGCTCTTCCGTCATCTCCAGCGGGTCCAGGATGGCCTCGGGATCCAGGTGAACCAGGGGGTCCAGGATCTCCAACGGACCCAGCCGGTCCGACAGGTCCTGCTATGCCCATCACTCCTGGAAATCCAGGCGGACCAGGTTCGCCCGGAGGACCCTTAAGACGAAGCATAAACAGTACATAGTGTTTTAAGTAGTCGAGTTGAGTCGGAATATTCATCTCATTTATAGCATCAGCCGACTGATGATAAAGGAGTACAAACAGCGACGCACGTGCCATCTAATGATGTGCCTTTTCGGTGTTACAAATCTTATCCAGCTGTAAAACATATATTTTCAAATCAGTACTAGGAAGCAAAGCAAGTTGAAGTATAACGCGGGTAAGCCACGGAAGTCCTACAATTGGTCCGAACGCTCACAGTTGTGATTTGACCTTGCAGTTATGACTGGGTCATTTTGCTCGTTTGCATAAACAACAATGACGGTTAAACTATGTCATGTTATTAAGTGAGGATCATGTCATGTTAACCGACCACTAATCAAGTTTGACCCAGCTTCAGATATAATCTGTCACAAACTCCTCCGATAGTGCGTAGCAGCCAGCAATCGACCACTCGGCGTCCTCAGCCGCAATACGTGGAAGCTTACAGCGTATCACCTTCTTAGGATCGGATGCAACCTCAGTAAGTTGGTGCAGGACACTACACGCTGCGCGGCAACCTACAAATGCGCGGTACTAAAGCAGGGATGGGTCAACACGAAATCGTCCATCGCCATAAACGAGCTGTTACTGGGTATGGGTGGTCGGTTGCACTCTCTAAGCGGACTTACTGCACCAGTGACTAAGTCGCCGTCAAAGCGTTTATTGCACACGTCGTTGAGTCTCATGTAACTTTCCATACGCCACTCGTGCATCAGTGAAGGGCGGTAAAGAGTGGCCAGTGCGACTAGGTGTATCCGAGATACGGTAGCTGTGCGCCGAAGACGTTATGACTGATTTCCGGTAAGCACAGCTACCTGAGAAACATCGCCCACCTCGGACTGGGCCACTGAGTGAGTAGCGCTCAATCAGTTGAAGAGAGTTGATTACAAACGTCTGTTGAGTGCTGTTGTGTCGCCGCTGACGTCTTCACTCCGCGACCGCAAGAAGAAGTCCAAGGACGAGCCAGAAAGCGACTTGGATACAAGAAATCACATTTGCTTATACACTTTTGAAGGTAAAATGAAGGGAAGCTACTAAATTACACTTTAACCAACCAACAGAAGGAAAAGCCTTAGATGCAATTGACGAATAAGCAATCGTATGCTCAAGAGCGAATCGCATATAGCCTTAAAAATAGCATCATGTGACTCCAAGCGTATAGCGAACATCCATTTACAGTGACGGGCACTGGCAAATCAGAATAACGAAAGGTAGCGCTTAAACAAATGTCACGAAACCAACGAGAATAAGAAATGCAGACCCAAAAATTAAAAACTAGTACGATACTCGTGTGACAACTAAATATTCCTTTAACATAACCAAGCAGAACAGTGATGAGGAGAAAACCCAATGGAAGGTGTTCTTGCAAAGGGCACTGCTGAAAAGGATACGACCATGAGCGTCCATTAACAATGACGTGTGTGGACCGATTGGGCCAACCCAGTACAGCGTTTAAACAACAGTCAAGAAGTAGACGATAGGAAGAATAAAGAATGGTTATTAAGCTTGTTCACAAGTAATGATGTCTAATAGCTATTCTCCTAATAAGTGCGAATCATCTACGCGCCAATCGCTGCACTCGACTGAGTGAAGACTTCATGCTCTTCAACTGATACTGTGGCAACAAAGGTTTGGAGACAGTGACCGAAAGAATTGATTAGTTGTGAGCTGGTTCAGTCACATTTACGAGTCAGCGAACAGCTGACGTGACCCAACAAATAAGTCATTGGCACATTTGCAATTGGTTCCGTTACTTGTTGGTACCGCGTTCAGGCAACAATTACAGCATTTATGACTAACCCCATTTTAGTTGCGATATATTTAGGTGTGGCTACGGTTTCAGCGCTTCGGCTTTTCGCCTCTTCATCCGAAATGAGTGTCAAGTTAGGACAATCGAATCCAACTTGATATAATACATGGCTCATAACTGGTTAACGAAAGATTGCTGAACTGAACCCCCAGTAACAAGACATGGGATAGCGGTTCAGCCGGTTTCCCAGCTGAATAAGGTTTCGTTGGGCTTCGCTTCGGCATTGAGAACGCATCATCGAAATGAACCGGTTATCATTGACCAACCAAAGGAACCGTCTATATAGGAATGGAGGAGGGACCAAAAAGAATTCTACACTCTCTCGAAACAAGCAGCGACCGCGATGCTCTGCAACCGCGTTGGTGTCTGCGAGTCTCTTTGACCCAGAAGCATCGCTCCGGTAGGGGGCGCTCAGCGACACTCTGCTTTAGGTTAGGCTTATGATCACTGAAATGTTCGTTGGACTACTTTTGGCTTCTGTAAGTCCGCACTTAGAATACTGTTTTCAGGCTTATCCTACATGTCTGGTTTGTGAGAAGATGAAAGTTGAACGAGTCCTGTAGTCCGGGACGAAAATGGTGCAGGGATTAAAGTAGCTGAAGTACTCAGAGAGGCTATGAAAGTTGGATATATTTTCCATGTACTACAGGCGGCTTCGGGGCGATATGGTCCTCACGTATCGTATATTGATGGGTCAGGTTCATCCTGATTTGACTGGACTGTTCCCCCCAACTCGAGCGCCAAGCCACTCATTAAAGTTGCATAAACCCCGGTCTGACTGGGTTTGGGCAGATTAGCGGTTATCGAGTAGGGTCATAGCTTATTGGAAAGCACTGCATGCAGACGTCGTGATGGCACTGACGGTGAAAGTGTCTGAGCATCGACTTGACGCTCTCGGTCTGCAGGTTAAAGTCTTCCCCTTAAGGCCTTAAGCTTTACTCATCTACTACTCGTTTAATTTCCAACTTAATATTGCCCATGCAATTAGATAAGCTTGTCTTCTCCTTTGTTTCCTTTCGTTTTATTTTATTTTTCACGTGGCCGGCCCAGCGTGGACCGATAGTGCATGGCACGTGGGCACTATTTGGTTGACCACGTGAATCGTCTGTGTTAATTTGGCTCTCCGTTGGTACATCAATACACCGAATTTCCTGTTGAATCAACGAGGTTTTCGAAGGTGGAACATTCACGGGATTTTCCAACTGTTCCGGTCCCACTTGAACTTGAACGTATCGCAACCGCTACAGAAAGTGCACTCGATCGTGTTTCAACTAACGCATATCACGATCCGCAAATTGAGTGACTTTAAAGTGAACAACAGGAAGTGTACTGCCTTTCTAAGGAGTTTGATCGCATGAGTTTGGTGATTAGGGTCAAATCACCGAGATTTGGTGGATTCAGCTACAGTGACTCAGGTCATTATGACAACATCTATTAACGATACTGCTATTGGAAGAACAAAGAAACTAAAATGGAAAACTCGCCTGTTATGCTTACAGGCAAATTAACCCGAATAGAGCCCAAGGATCAAAAAATTCAATTTCATGACAGTGCCACGAAACGGAGCTTGAACTTTCTAACTGTCTCGAGGAAAGTAAGAAAGTGATTACAGATGAGCGTATACGAATTGGAATGTTCCTATACACTCATGAAATGTGGTTATTTTGCAGAACAGAACATTGTTCTCATCGCCTGACCCACCAGCACACACAACGTATGTGAAACTCCCAGTTCATTTCAATTCACACGTGTTTCAACGGTCGACTGTAGTCTGTGCTTCCTGGGAATCACTTTCTTGCCCAGAGCATTCTGTCTGCGTTGGTGTTCACTTCGCCAATACAGTCTAGTTGCACAGTCTCGCGTGTTCCGGTATACCATTGTACATCAGTTTGGAGTCTGTGAGAAGCCATCTAACTCATGCCACCTTAAGAGCCTTCGGGTAATTGCTTTAAGCTGAAGCTACCGAAAAAGAGCACAATGCCAAGCTAGCTGATCGGCAAAGCTGCAAGTGCTTTAATTCTGTAGGACCGTTGAAGGAAACACACGGTGGTCTCGCTCCTTCCCAGGGACTGTCAAATGCGGTGCGTATGGATGCAGTGGTTCTGAACGCATTCTAAAATGCACTGCCATGCATACCCAAGGGCTGAATAAGTTACAGGTACTACCACTTACCACTGTGACTGCAAACCAAACGTTAAACTGTAGATCGACTAGTTCTGCCGATCATACATTGAACTGCATAAGCTCGCGGATGCTATTCGCAGTACTGACTAGAACGGTCATATTTCCCTCATGGAGAATATGGTGGGGTAACCTCGTCCAATGAACTGGTGGGCAGGTCCTTTAGAAGTGCATAGCTCACGTATGCTAAGGACCAAGTCACGTGCTGGCAGAGTAAGGCAATCGAGATCAATCGGCATACAAGTCTGTTAGTTAACAGCTAGTGAATCAAGGATGAACCACAAGATTTAAACTAATAAGTAGAACAGAGATCTCAGGGGAAAACCGGAACAAATGTGTTTGCTCTGATCCCTGCTAGTATAGCAGAGGTAGTTGATGAACGTGTATCGCACGGAATGAAGCTGAAAACTGCCAAAAAGCTTCAACAATTGCTGATGGAGTGGATTTTATAAAGGAACGCACTATGCGATGGTTACCTGGTGAAAGAGATTGAAATATACCTCGCAAAATAATCAGAGATTTGGCGACCGCCATTGTGGACAGCGAGTTTCACTTCGCTCAAACCATCTAGATTCATCGGACAAGCTCACTCACCATGGTCACACGAATATCTTGGTATAATGTGACATTTTCTGTAATTGGACCCTTCACCATCTGCCGAAGCTGTGCAAGGTGATCGCTCGCTTCCCGCGCCGGCTGAAACCGAAGAATAACCCAGTGAGTGGGAGAGATCATGTGCAGTCAACAGCCATGTTCATAAAAATTGTCAGACGGTCATCGGTACACATCCGTTTCTCTGTGTTTGTATTATCTGCATTGAATTGACAACAAAGCGATTTACGTGATATATCTGATCAGCAAATACTACACTGCCTAAACGACCTCTTGGGGTGTGAATACAGTAATTTTATTGCGTCTGCTGTCACTAGCTATTAAGGTTTATATCATAAGTACTGATGACCCCTTACCGGTCCGGGTGGTCCGGGCATTCCAGGCATACCATTGTCACCGTCCAATCCGGGATCGCCAGGGGGACCAGGGGGTCCTGGAGGTCCATGAGTGCCTTTCAGTCCGGGTGGACCTACGGGTATAAACACCGGAGTTGTCGGTCTCCTGGTAGTTGTTGTGGTCGTCGTCGGAGGCATCGGCGCTTCAGTCTGCTGTGGTGCATTTGTGTATGTACGTGGTGTTGGCCGGGGTCGGCTCGGTTCCTGAAATCATTAAGTCAAAGGGAAGAATACAAAGCACTTCTAGCGTGAATAACTAGGAGTTTATAAACAGTTTTAGTGGGGCATGAGAACTGTTTATATGATGCTTTGTTTAATCTATACATTTGGTAGTTTCTCATGTCTAGTAAAGTTAGGCAAATTTGGGACTTGAAACGGGAAGAATCTGTGAATCCATCGGGAAAATGGAGACGGGGTAGCGATAGGCAAGCCGCCACAGCCGACCTGTCGTTTGCTTCTGCTGCATACACCAAAAAAGACGTGTGGGAATACGATTGTAACATGAACATACGGTTCCTTTGTCAATGCGGCCAAATCGACCGATCACGTGCCTCGTCTGGCTAGTAGCGAGTCATCAGCTCCAAAACCAATTCAAAACCCAAAGGCTATGCGAAATGACCCCCGCTCAGTGTAGACGGGTGGATGAGTTCAGAAACCACAATGCTGCTGTGAGAGCAGTATGAGAAGTACAGATTTCCATTATAACCAGAGGGGCAATAATGGGAGTAATGTTGCCGCAGGCCTCATGCGGCACAAATGCATGCAAAATACCTCAGTTGGCAAAATGGGTTGCAAACTCACGGTGCGATTTTGTGCTGAAACGAACGCGAAGAAAGGGACAAATCAGTAACATTGAGCTACTTGAAAATGGATAGTTAAATTCAGGGCAGCACAATATTCATGCCGAATGCCCACGGGAGACGGCCTAGTGGCTGATTAAGGTACAGCCTTCTGCATCGGTCAACTGCCCGAATCGTTGACTTGTCCTGTTGCATATTACAGTAGCTGTACAGCTGTTCGCGTCTGGTTTGTGCAAATCACTTCTAGTCAAGACGTTTAGGCCACATCGGACATCGCAAGAAGGAATGAAACCTCTGTAGACGTGAGCATAACCACAACCGATTCTATGAGTATTTATAACTTGAATATCAGTGCTGCCCTTTTGCGAAACGGCTTAAAGTAAGGGTTTACTTGAGAAACAGAGTAAAACCCACCCTTAACACGAAAAACGCCGCGTAACCGTCTTGAAACGGTAGGATTTATAAACGCAACATTTGTACGGATTATTCGAGTACATTTGAAATGGAATTTTTACACCTCCCTCAACATCACCTATTCAAAATGATAAGTTACCCGCTTAGATTACTGGGATGACTGGTTATCCGATGTTAGCTTCCATACCCCTGCAGAGTACAAGAAATGTTATCCATGCTCGCACTTTTACCTTCACCTGCTTGACAACACAGTCTGTACATGCCGCATCCTGGATCCGGTGGAACTTCTGGCTATTTTCAATCAACGCTGTCTAAATGAGAACCAAATACCAGGAACAGGAAAGCGAAGGGTCATCACTCCTATTCATAAGGGAGGTAGCCGCACTGACTCAACCAACTACCGTCCTATAACCCTGTTTCCTGTGCTTTCCAAAGTTATACAGTCCATCATCGCTGATGCACTGACCCCGTATGTGGAAAACCAGAACAAGGTGGCTTCTGATAAAACCGCTCATGCAGTACGAACATGTCGACTGCACGCAATAGCTGGACTGAAGCGGTGGAGCCAGAGTTGATGTCATTTACCTGAACATCTCAAAGGCGTTTGATCGCCTTAACCACCGAATTCTCCTCTATAACCTTCAGATCCATGGCACTGGTGACCCACTCCTGTGTTGGATAGGCAATTTCCTGCACAAACCTTGGTTGGAGTTAAGAGTCCGAGACTCCCTTCTTGAAGTAAATGGGGTGGAATAAGCTGTTAGGGCCTCGTCTATTTGTACTTTTCATAAGTGATCTAGCGAGATCAATTACCTCCGATTTCCTACTCTTCGCATATAATTTCAAGATATGGTGAATGATAAGGGAACCAGATAACCATGAAGAGCTCCAGCCTGACACCAACATGATTTTGAACTGGTTAGTTTAGAATACACTACCGTTCAATGTGGAAATATGTCACGCTGTTCAATTGTGCCGTAGGTCTGACTACGTGTATAGGCTTGGGTCACATGTATTGCAAACAACTTCTCAGGAACGCAACCTTTGTGTGCTCACTCAAAGTGACTTTAACTCTTCAAAAAGGATTGAAGGAGCTGCGAAAGAATGCAACCAGCATGTCGGCTTGCTGCGGACGGCATTTGGACGTTTTGACCCATCCATCTTCCCAATGATGTACAAATCCTACGAGCAACCTCACGTTGAATATCCCATCCAAGCACGGCAACTACGGTTGAAGCGTAACTTGGAGATGCTAGAGATACCACAACGCTGGGCTACAAAGAACGTACCTGGCCTATGCAGTCTGTTCTACCAACAGAGGCTGAAGTCACTGGGAATGTTCAGCGGACGCTACCGGAGATTGTGCGGCGATCGTATCCAAGTGTACCAAAGGTTGAGTGAGTCTAATCACCTATACCGGCACTTGCTGAAACTCAGTCTTAACTCCAATGTCAGAGGCAACTGCTTAAAATAGTGAACAATACATCCGTGGGGAATGTCGACAGAATCATTTTTCTCTTCCATGTTGCAAAACATTGAACTCTCTTCCAAACTCAGAGTTGTTTTCCAAGAACGATTGGATGTTGCTCTTGGCCCCATTACTTCGTCGCCTAAGCTGCGCTACTTTGGATAATATTTATTATGCCTTCAAGTCTAATTTATATGTCATAGACATAAGGAGGCGGTACAGGAGTGAGTATACGTGTTGTTAATTTTCCACACGGAGAACCTCAGCTATGACTGCTCCCTTGTGATCTTGTTGCTGGCATTGCATTCTCATTTAGACTACTGTTATTCAGCGACGCAGTTGATAGACAGACGCTCAAACAGACAAGTCACATAACTTTTGATATTGTAGTTTACTCCTACGATCCTGCGGAACTTGTCAAGTAACCGCTTTTTTATCCGGTACAAATGATTGTTCATATTCCCTTATCTCGTTCTCCACTTGGTCAAACGCCAGCACCAGTGCTTCGCCCGTGGCAGAGCTGTAAGCTATCGGGTGCGTACCCCGGTTGTGAATTGGGGAATGTCTTCTTTATGAAGGTAACTGCGGATAAGTATCGTCTGCTTTGCATGCGAGATGAATAAACGTCGCGGACAACCAGCAGCAGCATCTCAGAGCGTGGGGAGTTCCGGGCCTGTCATTTGATTCTCCATCAAATACCACGAGAGCTCATACGACGCTGTGTCAAAGCCAGTGTGACCGGCTATAGGGTCACTAACAACTCACTTCTGTAACCAGATGTAGGTAAATAACGGAGAGCGAATGAACAACCCTGCTGGCCACCGGCTTCTCTGTAGACTGCTACTGAACACAAAGAAGATGAATGAGCTATCCGGATGTCAACAGTCTCCGTTAATCGTCCCGCTGCCTTGCGGGTCAGCTCTTCAAGACCAAAGGCTCGGGGTGGGGTCCCTTAAGGTAACCCTCTTCCTCGGCCTGGACAACCGGGAAGAT